CACCAATGCCAGGGATCCCCCAAGAGTCACCACAGAAATCACCAAGGCAGCTAAAGGGGAAATTCCTGCAGGTTTGTGGAGTCTCAGGCAGGGAGTTTCAACCTCAACCAACTCTTTGTCCCGGCTGACCTCAACTTCCGCATCCTTTTGTGCTGGGAATCCCCTGGGGCTGCAGCCACGTTAAGGGATGTGAAGTGGGAGGATTTCAAGGATGTTAAACTGGGAGCTGGAAGCATCACAGTGGTACCTCCAGGCCTGAGATGCTGCYTCCTCAGGAGAGCTTTATGGTCTCTCCCAACCCAAACCTCTCCATCATTCACTCTGCCCATCCCAGGGCCAAGAGCCACTGAGGTGCTCATCCCTGGGGCCGGGGTGACAGCAGGGACACGGACAGACGGACAGCGAGGACAGATGGACAGCAAGGACAGACGGACAGTGAGGACAGACAAACAGCGAGGACAGACCAACAGTGAGGATGGCATGGCCACGCTCCCTGCCCCATGCTCCCCACCTGCTGCTTTCCCAGGCTGAGCCCCACAGCACCCACAGCACCCTGGGCACTCACAGCTGGTCCACTCTTTTTCCTAAGGACATTTTACTCATTTTTATGTAGTCACAATGCCTGCAGTGTGCAAAGAGGGACTGTGCCCCTCCTTACTCGGTGCACCTGAGCACAGAAAGATGGTCTGGGCTGGACAAGCCTGTCAGCCGAGCCAGGCAGACTCTGATGCTCTGGGCTGATGATTCTCCTGATTTGGGGCTTTCTCTTCCCCTCCATGGTGAGCCAAGCACCTGCCTAGAGATGTGTAACTTCCCTGGGTGGGGGCACTGGTGTGTAAGGAGTGTGGTGCCAGCTCTGAGTGGAAGCAGACGGTTCCCCTGCACTGGGATACTGTGGACAATGGTTCTGGGTGTGGGTGTGTTGGTGGCTCTGCAAGGAAGGCCGTGAGGGAAGAGCCCCCCAGAACAGCCCCCACAGGCTGTGGGGGATCAGAGGGATGGATCCCAGTCTCAGCCAGAGCAGCAGGGCCAGTGCTGGGGGTCTGGGGGCAGATGCTGGTGCATGGCAGGGGTAGCAGCAGGTGGAGCAAGGGTGCTCTGGAGGCTTCCCCAGCAGCTCCCACCCAGCGCCACACCATGCTCTGTGCAGGGCCCACCAGAATGGAGTCSTCCGCCATCAAACCCCCATCCTCCACTTAAAGCTCATCTTGTTCYGCCACCTTGCCATGGGCAGGGTCACCTTCCACTACAACAGATTGTTCCAAGCCCCRCCCAGCCTGGCCTTGAACATTTTGGGTTCTTACAGCTTTTCTGAGGCCAGATCCTTCTCCAGCCATGGTGCAAATGCCCCTTTGCCTGAGGGGACAGCGGGGGCTTGGTGAGGGGGTGCCCCAGGACACAGCATGGACCCTGCTCAGGCCCTGCAGGACAGAGGGGGCTCGTGTCCCACTCTGTGCCAACTGCAGAGCATCCTCCACCCGTCCTTTGTCCTCCTCCCGGCCCCCAGTGCTGGCTGCCCAGAGCCTGCAGGGTGTGGCCCCGGGTGAAGGCAGTCACCTGTGTCCCCCCGCACCAGGTGATGCCAGCATGAACCCCGGGGGATGGCACCACAACCCCTGGGCGATGCCACAGCGAGCCCAGTGGAACTGTCTGGCAGCAGAGCCATTTCTTGCTTTGCAGGGACCGGTAGAGTCACTCTCCCAAAGTCTCAGCATTTCTCCACTCATGTGAGTAATGCTGTCCGTGTCTCATCTCTCCTGCACAGGCTGGAGCTTCCCAACCAGCTTTCCAGGCTCCTCTTCCTCCTGCCAACCCCAGAGAGGCCCCTGTGTGTGCCCCAGCTCTGGGGGCAGCATGGCCACTCCCACACCCCACTCCTCCCTCTGTTTCTGGGACTCCATCCTCACTCAGCCCCTGCTGGTTGGGCTCCTGCCCAGCCCCGTGGAGCCTCTCGGTACCGAAGCCTCTTGGTACCAGTGCTGGTGTGGGCTGGGATGAGCCCTTGGTGGGGCAGGGCTGTGCAGGGCATCTCTGTGGCCCACTCTGGGGTGCAGGGAGGCAGCTGGGAACCAGCCCAGGGTGGGAAGAATCTGTGGCAGGAAGGAAAGCTGGAGCTCCTTGGGCAAGCCCTGTGTTTGAGACACAGCAGCAGTACATCCTCTGTTCCATACCATGACAGAATCACTAAGCTCAGGAAAAAACATCCAAAATAATTGAGTCCAGCTTTCAACTAAAAAATTTCCCATGCAGCTCCCGTTCTGCCAGGGCACAGAGCTCAGTGCCAGCAGAGGGATGGGCATCAGGAGGAAACGCAGCCCACCCTGGAGGGAGCCCAGCTCCYGCCTCTGAGAGCTCAGAGTATCATTCACATCCCTTCCTAGAGCCAAAGAGAGGGKAATCCAATCCAAATGCTCCACTTTGAGATGCATGAGGTGTCAGAGGAGAGGCAACAGCAATATTTCTATAACTGCATGGCCCCTGTTGAACATTTCCACAGCTGCCACAGGCATGATGGTGCCTGGTCAGAGTGACTTTCCAAAATTCTGGATCCTCCTGCAAGACTAGAACCTTCTTCTCCTGCTTCCTTGTTACCCCAGGAGCTGTGGAGAGGCATTCTCTGTCTTTGGGGGAGGAGAGAGATGTGTGCCAGGGTAAAGGAGGAATGGGAAAGGAGGGGTTGGGACTGGGATCAGTGTCTCTGGGTGAGGCAGGACATGCTCAATATTGMCTTTTGGACTTGATCATCTTAGAGGTCACAGAATCACAGAATCAGGAACCCCAGCATGGTTTGAGTTGGAAGGGACCTCAAAGCCCATCCAGTGCCACCTCTGCCATGGCAGGGACACCTCCCASTGTCCCAGGCTGCTCCCAGCCCCAATGTCCAGCCTGGCCTTGGGCACTCAAAGGGATCCAGGGGCAGCCACAGCTTCTCTGGGCACCCTGTGCCAGGGCCTCCCCACCCTCACAAGGAAGAATTTCTTCCTAATCGTGATTTTGTAGACAGTTGATTTGATCAATGATTTTCAAATGATAATCACAGTGGTAGATCATTGCCATGGGCTGGGGTTGGGTGGCAGAGGGTCCTCCCCACCTGGCAGCATGAGGGGACTCYTTTGGGAGGTTTCAGCAGTGGAATGAGACAATTTTCACCTGCTGCAGATAAAACACCCTCAAACATCAGTGATGCTCTGGATCCCGGGAGCGCTCAGGTTGTGCCCATCTCCTGCTCAGGTGCTCACCGGCAGGGAGAGGGGAAAATCACTTGCAATGCAAATGCTGGAAAAGCAGGAAATGCCTCACCCGGGAGTGTTAACTGCTGTTAATGGTTAATGCACCGGCAATTTAAACCTCCCCAGGTCCAGGGGCTGATGCTCCTTCTGAAGTGTGGGAGAGGGAAGGATCAATATCTTCAGCCCTGGCAGCCTCTGCACTTCCCAGCTCGGGGCTGGCCCTCGGTGAGTCATTTTATATCAAACACGGCAGTTTGGGGCAAGTGATTCTGTTTGAAAAGACTAAGGGAAGGAAAGTGGCGTGTGAGAGGAATAGAATTCCATATTGCTGGGAAGTGGAGGTGGAAAGTCTTGCTGAGCTGCTTTGTAGCCCACACACAGTAACACCGGCTGACACTGGAGGCTGGGAACGCTCCCAGGCAGATTTAATCCCCTGTTCTAGACCCAGGCTGGCTCGATTYGCCTGGGTGACGTGGGTTTGCAAGTGGAAGAGGCAACTGGATAAATATTTGCCATGAGCTGAAGTCTTTTCTGTACTGAGCCGTGTTTTCAGTGGGCTTCTGGTTCAGGGAGGCCGAGAATCCTTAATGGAAGCGCTTAGAAATGCAAACACGTCTGACTTAAGTACCTGCTGTTTGCAATGTAAGTAAATCAGGCTGCAAGCAGGGAAGGGTTGTCTTTGGTCCRAATCCAACTGGTTTTCCTCTATCTCAGCCCTGGCCTGGAGTTTTTCTAATATATGGTGGAGTTTACACAGGGAATGGGGGTGGTGGGTAAGCTGGGGGGAAGCACATAAACCCAGYAGTCCRGTGGTGCTCCTTCTCCTCGAAGTTSTTCTTGTGGCAAAGCTTTCCTGGAGGACTCACAGCTTGGCTTGTTTGCATTATTCAAATCTTCGAAAATACCCTCAGGCTGATCCGTCATGGGACAGTGCTTCCAGCCTGGGACAGTGCTCCCAGCTTAGGCTGGCCCGCATTTCAGGAGCTGGGGAAACTGAGCCCAGAGGCTGGAGYGGTGCCAGGGGCTGAGCATCAGTGCAGAACTCTGCATTTGGGATGTCTCTCTGGGCTGTTTCTGCTTTGGGCCGGAATTGCTTTGTCCAAGGATCACTCTGTGCAGTCCACCATGTCTTTGCCACTTTTCATGAAGGAGTGGAAAAAGGATGAAGGAAAAAGAATGAAGGAAAAGGCAGGAAGGGATGAAGGAAAAGGCAGAAGAAAGGGCTCCTTCTGCTCTGGAGCCAGGCTGGGAGAGCTGGGGGTGTTCAGACTGGAGAAGAGAAGGCTCCAAGGTGACCTTGGAGCCCCTTCCAGTGCCTAAAGAGGTTACAAGAGAGACGTTTGAGCCCTCAGAGGTGCAGCTGGATGTGAGTCACATCCCAGACACTGCCCAGCACTGATACTGGAGCAGGATTTATTTTTGTATTTGTCCCAGCACAGACACAGCTTTATGGGTGCTCACAGATGGAGCCACTGACTTTGACAAGGCTGAGGGTGACTTTTATGACTGTTTTTATGACTTTTACAAGGCTTTTGTGGCAGTGGGTAAAGCAGAGCTGGAAATAGGCCCGGCAGTGGCAGTGGAGGGACAGAGGTGTTTTCCTTACAGACATACTTTGCAGGACTGACAGAACAAACAGGGTCCTTTGTACAAAACACAGCAAGGGAACTCCTCAGGGTGGAAGGCAGGTGCCTTGTGTCGTGATCTGTCAGGGTTGTGGGCAAATCCAAGTTCACCAGGTGTGGTGTATCCCTTCTSTTTCTGGCACAGAGCTGAGCCAGGCTGACCCCGAGCACGGGAACACCATGTACGAGCTCAACGAAAGCAGCTTTGACCCCATCACCTTCGTCCTGACCGGCATCCCGGGCATGGAGGAGTCCCACATCTGGATCTCGGTGCCCTTCTGCCTGATGTACCTCACTGCAGTGTTCAGCAACCTGGTCCTTCTCTTCGTCATCGCCACGGACCGCAGCCTCCAYGAGCCCATGCACCTCTTTCTCGCCATGCTGGCCCTCTCCGACCTCCTGCTGTCCACCACCACGGTGCCCAAAATGCTGGCCATCTTCTGGTTCAGCGCCAGGGAGATTTCTTTCGATGCCTGCGTCACACAGATGTTCTTCACCCATTTCAGCTTCATTGTGGAATCCTCCGTGCTGCTGGCCATGGCCTTCGACCGGTACGTGGCCGTGTGCGACCCGCTGCGCTACACGTCCATCTTAACGCCCTCCGTCATCGGCAAAATCGCCGTGACCGCCATCGCTCGGGGCTTCTGCATCATGTTCCCCCCCATCTTCCTGCTCAAGAGGCTGCCCTACTGCGGGCACAACGTGATGCCCCACACCTACTGCGAGCACATGGGCATYGCCCGCCTGGCCTGCGCCGACATCAGGGCCAACGTGTGGTACGGGCTGACCACGGCGCTGCTCTCCTCGGGCCTGGACGTGGTGCTCATCGCCGTGTCCTACGTGCTCATCCTCAGGGCCGTGTTTCGGCTCCCGTCCCCAGAGGCTCGTCTCAAAACCCTCAGCACCTGTGGCTCCCACCTCTGTGTGATCCTCATGTTCTACGTGCCTGCCTTCTTCTCCTTCCTCACACATCGCTTCGGCCACCACATCCCGAGTCACGTCCACATCCTGCTGGCCAACCTCTACGTCGTGGTGCCGCCCATGCTCAACCCCATTGTCTACGGGGTGAGGACCAGGCAGATCCGGGAGCGCGTCCTGCGCCTCCTCTGCCCCTTGGGGGAGTGTCCCTGCCCTGCCTGGGGCGGYGGGTGCTGAGCAGAGGGACGGGGTGAGGGTTGGGCTCTGGAAAGCCACCCAAAGGCTGCAGCACCTCTCAGCCTGGAGAAAAAGGATTGCCCAAGGGGTTCAAGGGAAGSTGAAGGTGGTGTGATTTCTGGAAATGTAGGCTTGGGTCATCAGCACCTGCAYTGCTGCTGGTTTCTCCTGCAGCTGCTTCCCCTGAATTTCCCTCATTGGCAGAGACTGGGCAGGTTCTGCTGAGAAGCACCGAGGCTTTTACACCTTCTGACTGTCACCTGCTACAGCTGGTTATATTTGCTGTCCTACAGCTTCACTCCTGCCCGTTCCTTCACCTCTACTAACAGGGGCCAGACCATGAACACCTTTTCGGTCACCAGACTGGAGCATGGCAYGCCAGCCACAGCTGGATGGGCAACGCACTGCTCACCGTGGCACAGAGGCGGAATGGCCTCCCATCCTCACTGCTCAGGGACCCTGGCACCTCTGGCTGCTGTAGGTTTTTCCCTGATGAAGTGCTCTGGGAGGTTGGGAAAGGCTTTATTGTCCAGTGTTTGAGGGAAACATTTCCCAAATCCAAATTCAAGCCTTTGGAGTTGTGTGTAAAGGGACAATGGTGTCCAACATCCACCACATCCCACAGGGTTGCAAGGCACTGTGCAGCAGCACTCAGYCCAAAGCAYCTYGAGATYCTTCTCTGTCCATGTGSTGGCTGATAAAGCASCAGWTTTGTCACCAGATATTTGATTCATCCTTCAACACCAGAAGAGCTTTGTTGGATTTTCCTTGTTTCCCTCATTGGTGGATGTAGCAGTTGAGTCAGTAAAACTTATCCTACCTGGGGTCAGTGTTACCCTGGCTTGGGCCATCATGAGCAGGGGTGCAGGTGTGAAAGGTGAGCTCTCAGCATCGCTGCAGRTGCTGTGAGGAAAACCTGTGTGTCTGGAATACAGCCTGAATCCCAGAATCCCAGCATTCCAGGTGGAAAATGATCTCCCAGATCATCAAGTCCAAGCTGTGCCCCGATGCTCATCTTGTCACCCAGCCCAGAGCACCGAGTGCTGTGTTGGGCTCTGCTCCCAGGGAACAGGGACAGGAGGAGAGGGAACGGCCTCAGGCTGGGCCAGGGAAGGCTCAGGGTGGACACCAGGAGGAATTTSCCCATGGAAAGGGTGCTCAGGCCTTGGCAGGGGCTGCCCAGGGAGCTTTGGAGTCCCCATCCCTGGAGGTGTCCCAGGAAGGGCTGGAGGTGGCACTGAGTGCTCTGGGCTGGGGACAARGTGGGCATCGGGCACAGCTGGGACTCCGTGGGCTGGGAGGGCTTTTCCACCTCAGGGATCCTGGGATTCTGTGACAAACACTTGCTTCTCCTCTCTGCATTCCCTGCTGTCAGCTGCTCTTCTCTCTTACCCATTGCTCTGAGGGATGGRGGTCTGGGCACTTTTTGGTCCCTGCTGAGCTCAGGGGTTTCCTGGGGTCTGGCTCTGCCTCATCCGGACAGTGACCAGAGGGTTTTGGTTGTGGTGGTTCAGGAGCCCTTTCTGGAGGCTCCACAGTTCAGATCTCTCAGCAATGCCACGAGGTGGGTTCTCTGACCCTGTGTCACCTGTGAGACCCCATGAAGGGCCCAGTGTGCTCCTGGTGTTACTCCTGAGATGGAGCACAGCAACCATTTCAGCAGAATGTCCTTTTGCCCCKACTGTGAGGGCTGACAGCACTCTCCAGTCCCACAGCTTGACTGGGCTGCAAAGCTCTTCCAGACCTGCCCATGGTGAGGAAACYTCTGCTGCACACCTGGACCTCAGAGGTGTCTCCTTTGGAGGGGGTGGTGACCCCAGAGATGCTGGGGAATGGCTCTCCCAGGATCTGGACTCCATTGGATATCGTGCCCTGCATCAGGGTGGATCATTCTGGGTGGGACTGACTGAACCCTGTGTTCCTGATGGAGAGCAGGAGCTGTGGGTGCTCTCTGGGACCAGGTGTGTTCACACCTGAATGACACAGGAGGTGGGATGATCACAGCAGCCCACCCCAACCTGCAAACTCTGCTYCAGCCGTACCAGTAATGCTACTGCCACTTCAAAGAAAAGGGGAAGAGACAGATTAATGATTTCAGATCAGAGCCCCCCGAAAGTTCTTCACTTTTGCAACACACTTCTTCTTTTCTGTGTTTTGTTTTCCTCTGGTTTGATCAAAGGTGGCACTCTGCGACGGGCACAGGGGAAATGAAAGTCTGTTCATTAAAGGCTGTTTGTCTACCAGCGGAGATAACGGAGCTGGGTACAAAAGCTGCTCGTGTCGTTGGGTTTTTTTAATGTCCTCAGAACATTCGTGTTTGCGTTGGCTTTCTTAGCAAAAAAAAAAAAAAAAAAAAAAAAAAAAAAAGTGTTTGCACAGAGCAGCAGTGTGATTTTTGATAGATGGAGCTGTGAGAAGGAAAATGTGTCAGGAGAGTGCGTTGCTGTCGGCAGCTCTGAGAACCATTGAGCTGACCCCGGATTTGCCAATATATGGGGCTTGCAGCAGCCTGGGATAGTGGAAGGTGCCCCTGCCYGTGGCAGGGGATGGAATGAGATGAGTTTTAAGGTCCTTTCCWGYCCAAGCTGTTCTCTGATTGCATGATTCCATGGATCTGTCTGCTCCTTGGGGTTTCCCAGAAAGGTTTTATATGATGGAGGAGGCAGTTTTAAACGTGCTGCTCTGCTCCTTGGGTGGATGTGGTGGCCAGGTTTGGAGCAAACTGCCCAGGGAAATGTCCCCAAGTCAATGAATCACCAGCTGGGCCATTCCTGGCCAGGGGCCCGTGCCTAATGGGGCATTAGCCAGCCGAGCAGAGAGATTTATATTTCAAAGTGGTTAAAAGGTGAGCTTAATAACTCCCATGGGGGGGGGGGGGGGGGCGGAGGGAACACAGCTCCTTCCCTCCATAGATTTTAAAAATCTGGAGACACTTAATTCTTTTTTTAGCTCAGTTCATGGGTTTTGACAGTGTGTTTGGATTACAAGGAATTTTGCCTGGCAGGAAGAAAGGGAAGGAGAAAGGTTCCCTGCCTGTGACACGGDGTTAGAATGAGATGAGCTTTAAGGTCCCTCCCTGCCCCAACTATTCCACAATTCCATGATTCCATAATTTCAACTGGTATTATTCCCACACAGCACATGCAAGGAGTAAACAAAACCTCAAAAATCTTTGGGAGATAAGYGGAAGTCACTGAGAAACACTCCTCTGCCCTCAGTGAATGTTTCTGTGTATGGAGAAGGATCTGAGCCTGCATCTGGAGAGGAGATGGAGCCTCAGGTTTGTGCCGAGTTAAGCTCTTGGCAGATGTTTGAAAGGAAAACGCTCTCCAGGGTGTGATTGCTTTGCTGCACCGACAGGGACAAAGCCTCGAGTGTGTCAGGTTTGAGTTCCCCATTTCCACTCCGTTTTATTGCTCTTCACAGACAGTGGTGCTTTGTTAACAGTCCTTCATCTGCACAACTCTGGGTGAATTAGAGCAGTGGAGCTTCATGATTTTYGTTCTCCCACTTCCCCCATCACTGTCTGGCAAACGGCAGGAGAGAAGCTCCTTGGGAGGGATGGAGAGGGGAGAGAGAGGAGGGGGTTCCTGGATGCCCGGAGCTCGCTGGGATGGCTGAGGAACTGACTGAGAGTTCACGAGATGCCCCATCCCTGGAAGYGTTCCAGGTCAGGTTGGATGGGGCTTGGAGCCCCAGCCTGGTCTAGTGGAAGGTGTCCCTGCCTGTGGAACAGGATGATTCTATGGTTCGGTGAAATGTTAATTTAATAACAATCCCTCTTCCCAGACAAGCAGATAACAACAGCACCAYGTCCTTGAACTGTCCTGCCTGAAATGAGATGGTGTCAGCCTTCAGGGGGGAGGTTTTTGACTGGTTTGAGCTCATGGATTAGAGATTCCTACTGATCCCAAAGGTCCCTARCAGCTCTCTGAAGGGTGGTGGCAGTCAGGAAGCTGCTGGCTGCAGTTCACACAGCCTGCCGAGAGTCTCTGCAGGTTTCTAGGAGGTCCAATAAAATCAGAAATGGGGACAAAATCARCTAAGAGGTTTGTAGCAGGAATGTCTGCTGGTCTCTAGCTCAGAGCGCACAATTACCTCTCCACTGTGGTTCCCAAAACGCAAAAACAGTTCCAGGTCCTAAAACACTTCCAGYCTAGGGCAAGGACAGGGATAGAGCTCACACCTGATGGACAGGTCCCTCCCAGCCCCAGCTGGTCYGGGCATAGCCATGGGAATCTCTTTGGGACCCAGGATCAGGCAATGGATGGTGCAGAGTGACTGTGGTGTGGGTGATGAGTGATGGGGTGCTGAGGGCTCACTGAGCTTCCTTCAGGGACAGCCTGAAGGTCCACAGGGCTTGTACAATTAGTGCAGTTAATTAGTGCAAGAGTAGGAAATACCCAGGGAAATGAAGTGGTGATGTCCCCGGTGCCCTTTGCCACAACTCCCCCGCTGTGGTGCTCCAGGGCACTCCTGGCCCAGGTGTAAACACGGGTGGGTCTGTCCCAACAGGCTGGGTCTGTCCCAGAGCTGCTGCAGGAGGTGGCTGATAGCTCAGAAGGAGCGTGACAGGGACATGACACTGTTGTTTCAGCCTTTTCAGGCTTTTGTTTCTCTTCACATCCAGTKTGAATCTGCTGGAGCGTGTCCAGGGCAGGGAGCAGAGCTGGGAAGGGGCTGGAGCCCCAGGAATGGCTGAGGGAGCTGGGAAAGGGGCTGAGCCTGGAGCAAAGGAGGCTCCGGGGGGACCCTGTGGCTCTGCACAACTCCCTGACAGGAGGGGGCAGCCGGGGGGTTCGGGCTCTGCTCCAGGGAAAACAGGGACAGGAGGAGAGGGAATGGCCTCAGGCTGGGCCAGGGGAAGCTCAGGGGGGACATTGGGATGATTCCCTACCCTGAAGCGCTGTCCAGCCCTGGCACAGCTGCCCGGGGGAGTCACATCCCTGAGGGATTTCAGAGCCTTGTGCATGTGGCACTGGGGGACATGTGCTGGTGGTGGCCTTGGCAGTGCTGGGGAAGGGTGTTACAAA